CGGGATTGACCACGCAGCAAAGGATTCGATACCCTGGGCCCTGCAGCAACTCCGTATACTGTTCTGTTCGCTCAGCTTTACGACTGAGCTATCACCGGGGTGCCTGTTATAGTTTAATTTTTGCCCAATATTTACGTTTATAGTTTATTACTGTCAGTAATCGGAGTGGTGGACCGTTCAAGTAATCAAGAAATGTTTTATTTCTAACCCCCATAGGGTTTGTAAACAGAGAGCACTGAAGTGTTAGTTTTTACATGTTAATTGTCCCGTTGCTGGACATTGTCCATTTAAAATAGAATCAATTTTAAAGGTCCCCAGTGTGTAACATTTACGTGAGGAAGTCCCTTATTGTCAGAATAAAATTATTACTTATATCATAGCTATGTTGTCCCACACTTTTAACACACTTTTGCAGCCCGTTCTCATTGTCCCTAGGATCAGTTCAAATGCAGTAAAGACAAGCAGTGTTCAAGTTAAGTTGCGATTTGCAACTTCACCACTTAGATGGTCCACTAAATCCTGGAACTTTTGTAAAAAACCAGTAGCCACACAACTGTGCTCACTGTGTGTGTTGATCTTCTGAGCTGGCCTGGGAGTGTGGAATCAGGCTGTCTGTATTTTTTCAGACCTTTCGACTACACACCCAAGGCACCACACACCAACAACTGGCTGTTCATTGCAAAGCACGCAGTGGTGACCGGCCAGATGCCTTTAAATGACTTCTTGACTGACAGCAATGTGGTCGCTCAGCCAGAGCATGAAACTTCTGACTTCGTGTTCGTTTCAATTGCCATTTATCTGGAATTTCGTTTCCTTCTTCTTCAAGCAACAGCTGCTAGATGTTGATCAAAACGTTGAGGAAAAAATGCTTTTAAAAATGCGACGTCCAATAGTTTTTTTCTTGCCATTGGTAGCTAACTAGTCGGAAATCTCAGTGACAGTCCTTAAAGCTGGGAGCAAGCCGTCCCTCCTGTACACAAACATGCACCTTCACCCACAAATGTATAGCGATGTTTGCCTGGTGCTGTGTGACGACTTGATCTCTCCATATGGTCTGGGCTATATTAACCCTATCGTCAGTCACAGCGCTGTCCCTTAACCCTGCAAATCAAGTCAGTCGGGAATACCTCAGCTCACACACACCACCACATTTGCACACACCACCACACACCACACACACACACACGCCACAACACGGTACATTTCTGTCATCTGGTTTTTTCTCCTTCTTTCGTGTACATCTGTGAAAATGGCACTACTGTCCAGTTTTAAATTTGAGTTGTTAAATCAGCGGCATGGTTTTGGCTGAGGCTTCAGGTTGATAGTTCAAAGCCCTCTGATCACTGTGTCCTGTCCTGTGGGTTTTGTTCTTTGTTATCAGTAGAGAATGGGGAGTGGCAGTGGGACAGAATTAGTAGTGCTACCTATCAATGCCTATCAACAGCTTCCACATCTGTCGGATCAGTGGGAAATCAGGCATACGTAAGAACGCACTCAATGGTTCCCCTAATGTACCACAAACAGTGATAACTATGGATAACCCTGTTTCTGGTAAATATCCGAACCAGTTATGCTCTCCAAGGGAAATTATCCTCGCACATATTTTCCCATCTTCACCCTATTTCTATTTTTATTAACCTATATTAATTTTTCAAAGCGCAGAGTTAAAGCATCCGCAGATTGGTAGACAATGTAGTCGGTGAGATCTATTGTTGATCAAGTAAAATGGAATATTCAATGTATTATTAGGTACTTGTGTTTCATACTCGGTTCAAATCCCCCCGGCTCTCGCTTGCTGCACTTTCATGTGTCATCGTGCAAGCACTGAAGCTCAAATATTGCTGCTGCTCCCGATCGCGTTTTTTCTGCCCCATCTAGTGTCATGACTATGCAGGGTGCAAGTGCTGGAGTGGTCAGATAGATCTAAGATAAGGGTGCTGTAGTTCAGTCCATTTTTACCATATTTGTCCATGGAATGTCTGCCAGTTTGATCTTGCTTCTACAGTACTGCAGGACAGAACAAACTAAAAAGCATAAACTGGCTCTAGATATGGGCCTTTTCGTGCTTGGTGAGTTCACCAGCCACAAAAGTTAACTACACAAGTGTCAAGGCAAAAGACTCGTATTGATTTGGTTTGAGTACAGTGGTCCAAGGATTTGGTGCGATTTTAGCAGTGAGATTCTCAGGATTGCAACCAACTGGAACCCTCATGGTCTTCAAACCAAAGCATTTAGGAAAAAACTACAAGTGGCCAACCTTTGCCAAAAAGCCCCTGATGTTCTTGGTTTTCCCATTCACAACGACTCTTATATTCCAAGTGATTAATACACTAAGAAACACTACCTATGAATATTATTTCCAATTTCTGGCCAATAGAATCCACCTAAATTGTTAAAACACTCAGACTATCTTTAAGGAAAGGACATATACTTTTTAATACAATACTTTTTTGCTGTCTGAGCTGATGAGATCTAGTATTATTTTAACTTAGCACAACCAGGGTGAAAGAAAAAATAAAATATCCCACAACAAAATTGTCATATTTATGTATTTTGTGGCAACTGTCAAGTCACAATAATTCAGATTTCACAGCAGTCAAGTTTCAAGTCCGAATTTCTGCGACTTAAGTCTGACTTAAATGTCCTGACGCAATTCCTTTTTTTATCAGCATTAATATAAGTGCTGAAACCTTGCAACCCCACTATGAGCACAGTGGTACTGAATCAGCTTCACATCCTTAAAGTAGGTGTAGGTGTATATGTTTGCTTTTCATCTTTCTTCACTGTACGCGTCTATAAGTAGTATTTTAAAGCCACATTTGTGAAACTGCTGCTGTGGCATCAGATAACCCTAACCCCAGCAGTGGCTGAAACCGAAGCTTGGCCTTATCCCAGACTTAAACATAGTTTAAAATGGAAGTTTATTTATCCATGGGGAGAAACTGGGCCATTCCAGCAGCACACATTACGGAAGAGAACAACAGGACTTCCTCATGTAAATAAACTGCAGCTCAACATAATAATAAACAGAAAGTATGGGAACAGACATTACTTCTAGTATTTAGATTTCCTCACAGTATTGATATAATTTACAGATTTCTTACTTCCTTCACTGCAACGCTCAAGAGATTAAATCAAACTCTTCCAGCTGATGAAAGAGGCACTGTGAACCACTTCAGATCCCCCCAACCACAGCTGTCTTTGCATGGTTGTGATATACCTTTCTTTCCAGCTAATGCCTATGAATAGTATCATGTATCCATGTTTGTGGAGCTGTAGAAATGCTTTAATCCATCCTCCAGTCCACATTATGCTGGCTAACAGCATTTGTCAGCCCTGGGGCTCAGCCGGGAGCGGAATGTCTGCGCAAACGTTGGAACAGACTGAGTTGCTGCTCTATTTTATGGCATACCACACTGCTCTAGTCAGAGAAGGCCTGTTCATAGTGGCTGCACTGTGACTGCTGCCTGTGCATTGTTTCGTTTCTCTTCTGTTAGTCGTGGCTGTTGTTGCTGTGCTACAAAGAGTGCTGAATGGTTTGCACTTGACTTTGCCATGAGAGTTGATTTGAAAGATAGATCCTCTTCATTATGCTCTTGCATTGGTGCCTTGATTTCAGGAAAAAACGATTTTCTTGACCACTTGATAAAATGTCATAGTGATAAGATTTTATTGACACCAATACCCTTATCGATTTTTCAATTTTTGGTGTTGAAAAAGTAGGTCTACACAGGTTTTTAGTGCAGACGAAACTGTTTTGTTATCTCTGACTCTAAACACCATGTAGAAACAGACTAGCATTATAGTAGTTTGAGTTTCTTAAATGTGAAATGAAGCCAGGCTTTGGACCACTTCTTCCTCGACACCATGACTCCTTCTTGTTGTAAGTTTCTAGCAGTGTAGACACATGAGAAACACACTGGCATTGATTAAAATGAATTCATAAGATTCCAATGGATCAAACAATTTGGAACCGGTTCTCAATTTGAACGCTTCTCGATTCCCATCCCTACTCCTTCGGCTTGTCGGATGGTCAAATAGGTTTGAAAACCTCTTTCTCCAACACTTTCAGACGTCAGATTGGGAGGTTCAACAATATCTGTAACTTTCCAGAACCAATATTTCAGGATCCACACACATCCCACTGTGATTAGCCAGGTGTCTGGAGGTGGTGAGAGCAGGGTTTTAAGGTCTCTCTCACCCTTCTGTGCATTTTAACATCCACTGAATGTTGAAGATAGACTAGCGTGGAGCCATTAAAAAAACTACAAGACTTGAATATCAAATGTCTCTAGCAATTACACTATATAGTGCATGCTTTAGCATGGATACAAAACTTCTGAACTGAACTGAACCGTGATTTCTGTGTGTACCCTGTGTGAATAAGAAGAGACCATTCCTGGTAGTGCTGACTCAGCAGAATGCACTCTGAGTGCACATGTTCTTTTGCCTTAGTTTGAAAGCTTCAGTTTACAACAGGACCTGGGACTGGGCAGTATTCACTAACAGCCACAGCAATGGGGTGATCAATGTAGACAGTGTAATTGTGTTGAAATGGCTAGGTACCCAAACTGTACAAAGTGTCTTATTGGATAACATGTTTCTGAAGAACCTATGTTTATGAAGTTTTCTTTCACTACTATTACTACTCCTAGATTACACACCAACCTGTATGCTGAAAGACTTCCTGTACACTGCAGTGTGCTAGAACGATTTATTGACAAACAGGTGTGTAGCATATCTGGCTATAGAACAGGTTTTGGTCTCTGTACAGTGGTAATAGACCAATAAAAAATGTCTGTGCACACCAGGCCAATAACAAAACATTTCTTCAGACCCATCTGCCAGCATCCTTGCTGTGCTGTAGGAAGATGTTAAAGCTCCCTTTTGTGAGTTTTGGGAAGGTGGTGAAAAAGTTAGTTGCTAGCCCTGTACTATAATTTCCATGCATCCTACTGTAAACATATGCCTGAATGTCCTATAGAATAGAATAGAATAGAATAGAATAGAATAGAATTGTACGCAACTTTTCTTTGTTTTGATATCTGCATTATATATCAGCCATCAGCAGCCCTTTTCTCTAAATATCAGCGTATGCCACTGAAAAACCCATATCCGTTGACTGCTGCTGTACAGGCACAATGGAACTAGCCATCAATGTCAGGACTTTAACCCAGGAGAACATGAACAAACCTACCTACCACCTAACATTATCCCCACTTATGCTGCATAAGTGTTAGGTGTACGTAAGTTAACCTAAATTGTGTCAGGTATGTACGATCTTTTCCTGATTCTAACCAAATTAAGCATAGCGTTAGTTCAAGCAGGCCACGAAGTCAGGCTCAGCTCTCAATTCCAGCTATATCAGCTGATCACAGCTAGTCATAAACGCACATCAGCTGATGGCTCAGCTGA